ACATACAGGAGATAGAGATCCAGAGATGCTCCTGCTTCGGCTCCTACTAAGGCTTGGACTTCTGCTTGCATATTTGCGACGCTGTGAATATACAAGATTAAATGGGATCAGTAAGTTCAGTTTTGTCGAATGGAAAACAAGAAGTAATCCCAGAGGAGTTTATGACTTACAGATAGTATTGGGCTTCTAAATTTCCTTGGAGATCTGCAAAAATTTCCAAAATAAACCCATTTTAATATCCAGAACAGTCCAATATGACTTCTGATCCATATGCATCCATGCTACCTCGACGTCGATAATCAAACCAAGGAAACAATATCTACCAGCAATCTTTAGCACCACTTAACATACACTCTTTTAGACCAATCCAAAATAATTTCACGTTCACTGTTGTCCCATTCTTCAAATCTGGTCTTCTCCAACGTGGGAGGACAATGATACACAATGCTAGGGCAAAGAGTAAGACAATTCGCTCATACTTTACCAACAGCAAAGCTAAGAAGCTGTTGTAAACCACACAAAGATGATGCTGTCATCGTTACCTTGGGTTCAGAGTTACGAAGTGCCATTCTATCTAGTTTTTGTTACTTTTTTGCAAAAACCACCTTAGACAAGAATCCACATTAGGAAAGAATCCATCATCTTCACTAGGGAAGTTAGCACCATGGGCATCACTTGCCACAGTTAAAAAAGTATTAACAAAATTTACCATCCAGGCTATGCAGCAGGTGCTCATCAACTAAAACAGCATGCAGCCACAGGGCCCACAACCAAGAGTTGCATGATATTTGAGCACCATAATCCTCAAGTCCCTAACATGCAAAATCCCCAGATCGCCGCGAAAATCCAGATCTAGAAAACAAAAAAACCAATCTTCATAACAGTATCATTAACCACAAAAGGTGGCAAGTCCTTTCTGAATTGACCCTATCCCCGAGGATAAAATGGATTGTGACACTTGAGAACAAAAGACATCTAGCATACGCATATCTTATTAGAATTACTAATCTGAAATTCACCCAGAAGTGAAGCCAACAGTGCTGACTTTTGTGAAGAAAAATATTTTTTCTTTTTTCCAAAAATTGTCAACTACTAAGGTGCCTTTTGAACAGACTATTAAAATGCCTGAACGGGACAGACTTCTCTGTAACTAGAAGTTAAAATGCATTATGCTAGAAAGAGCAGTGAATCTCCTTTTCCAGATATTGGAAAAAATTAAGGTGCCTTTTTGACTGGTGAAACAGAACAAAAAGCCTAGATAATTCCATATGTTTTACAGGAAAAGAGACCATAAATATAAATGTAAATTGAAAACTTCAAGTAGAAGATCAAAAATTTCGTATCTTTCATCTTTTTTTAATTTCATTTACAAAATTGGGTGGTCAAAAACTATCCATCTCATATCAGCAACATAAGAAGCAAAACATTTTGCTCCTTTAATGGTTTCATCTTAAAAACTCAAGATTACTAAAGAAAAGTAACAGAACATGCAGCAGTCATCCATAGATGACAAGCTTAGCATTAGAAACCAGAAGCTGGACCAAAAAAAAAAAAAGTTTTATATCCAACAAGAAGACGAGGAAGGAAAATGATTGGTTCAGTGATATCCAAAGAACTAAGAAACATTCATCACTAGAATCATAATCCGAGTAATAAGCCACGTAATAGAAGCATGCAAAGAAGAGTAAGGAAAATGAAAGAAAGATCACACACTGTTCCAAAAAAAAAAAAAAACAGAGAGGAGAGAAAATAATAACCACTTAAAAAGCACTTTAAATGGCATAAAGGCACTAGCTTTGAACAAATTATTTCTCAGATGAAAACAGAATAAAGCACAACCATTAAAATCAAAATGGAGAATTTCATATTTGGAAGTAGTCTTCTGAAAATGACAGTTAACCCTTCAAGCCCGTGATAATCAGGAGAGAGAAGAGAGTATGAATCATATAGCAATTTTGACTTAGCTTCATAATACATATACCTCATGTTAACCTTGTTGATGCAACAACATCATGAAAATATAACATCTCAGGAACTCACTCTGGCAGTTGCTGATAAAAATACCAGCCACTCTCATGCATTTAGGAAACTACAATACAGCTATACAACACACAGAATATAACAGAACTGGAAGGCTTCAAGCACCAATAAATTGTTTGATAAGCCAAAAAAAACAAAGCACAGCAATAATCTACCTTGAAACATAATGAGGGGAGTCAGACAGAGCCCCTGATGAAACAGACCTTGAGAGAGATCTAGATGGAGAGCGACGAGAGTATCTGGCCCTTGGAGAAGCACTATGTAAAAGCAAAGTCTGTCAATGGGTAGAGTAATTCAGACAAAAATTAGAAAGGCAGATAAATTTAGAATTCATCAGACCTCCTGCTCCTGCTGCTGTAGCTATAGCCAGGACTCCTACTCCTTGAATAGCCAGGACTCCTACTAGGACTTCTGGAGAAGCTTCTTCGTAGATCGTACTCCTCCACCTAAAGTTTCACAGACAAAAAAAAAAAAAAAAATGAAAGCGACTGTCTAATAACACCAAGATAGAATATAAAGGGTTCATCATTACATACCCGTATGTAAGCCCGGGAATACTGATTGCGAAACAGAGAATCATCAAGTTTCCGTATCTGCAATGAATTGAGCAAACAAGTAAAGAACATTATATCATAGCCTGCCTTCCTTCTCCTCCTTTTCAACAATGAAGAACTATTGAAAGATACATATGGCAACTTTCAACAAATCAGGGGCAAATTGCAATCAAAATAAAATCATGACAGAAATCTAAAACACTGCAAAGGAAAGATTGAAGATCACTAACATTTAAAAATACTGGAACATAAAAATGGAACTCTATGTCCAGTATTAACTTACCGCGTACTTCATGTCATCATAGTTGGTGTAATCAATAATCCCTCTCATACCTACACATGAACCATGACAATAAAAACAGTTATCATTCCAAATATAGTGTTATAAAAGAATCAAATCTTCAAAAGGCATTAACAGGGGAACGAGTACAAATCTTAGAAAACTCAGAATGACAAACTTAAGATACTTAAAATTTAAAAATAGGACAGTCATAATAAACTGTTGCTGACAATCTTAAAAAAGAACAAATAAAAGACAAACAAGCTAGAAAACAACCATTAAGTAATTTTAACATCCACAGAAGATGCTCCAAAAAAATAAATTTACTAAGATGACCACCCTAAAAAAATTTAAGTAATATGCACCAGGAAAAAATGTAGTGTTATTCCACGAATAAGCAGTGTTTACACCTCTTCTCCCACCAAATATATTTGCAACTGGTACATAAATTCATGCTACTAAAAGTAAATTTAGAATCCTAGTTTAACTGTTAAGGTCTCTCTCCATCCTTTTTTTTTTTTAAATAGGATGATTGTTGAGCATATCCACATAAATAGACACACAGGCATTCCTGCGTGGGGATTGTTCCTTTGAGCAGTAATGGTAGAGGTACTTTCCAACAAAAAGGTTTGGCACATCAGAGGATCCAGAAAAGTCTACACTGAAGTTTAATAAGTTGTACAGTTCAGCTCCATAAAGCTAAATATTTGCGTCGTCCTGAGATGCACAGTGTGGCCTCAGAGAATAGTAGTATGCTACAAACAAGTAAAGATTTGCCAGAATTCTTTTTATAAAAATCATCGATCAGCCCCTCATCCACATTGAGAATAGCTACCAAACAGATGTAACAAAAATACACATAACCAAACACCAGGCTGACATAGATGTGCTAGATAAACCTCTAAGTTCAACTAGTGCTATGGGCACACCCATGTCTGTGCAATTTAAATAAATAAATTTAATATAAATTAATGTGACATGAATTTTTCTTTATTAAATTGATAGTTATTTGATAATTATACCTACAAGTGATTATGCTGGCACATGTTCTTAGGCAATTTGGTTGGAAATTATGTTGGTATACATAATTGGGTAGTTAGAATAAAAATTAGTTTTTAGGTAGTTAGAGTGAATATTATGCAGGTTATATGATTGGGTATTTATGATACTAATTAGTTTTTCTGAGGATAACAATGTAACTTTAAAAAGTGGCAAAACATGTTTACACAACCCCCTCCTTTCACTTTATATATAGTATAGTATGTTGCTAAGCCTACAGAAGGTGCTGAAACACAAAACCAGTGACACTTGAGCCCACAGAAATTTGCAATAGACTCTTAATATTAAACAAAAACACAAATTTATTCCAAATAGAAAAAATATTAGACAACTCACCATCACGATCACGGAAAACTTGAGAGAAACAGACATCACCTGCTCGACGCATGTGATCCTAGTAAAAGAGATAAAACTAATCAATTTTAAAAAAGAAAGAACTAAAATCAGATAGCCCTCTAACTAAGAAAATCTAGAACTAAAATGGGATAGCCCTCTAACTAAGAAAATCTAGAATTCTCACCTTCAAGTCCTGCATGAAGCAGAAGGTGGCAGCCCTGTGACCAAAACTGACAAGTTTGAAGTGTTACCAACAAATTCTACATGTATTACATCCTTAGCATAAAGCAAACCAATAACACGTAGCAATGACTCACCACGATAGTCAGAGCGCCTTGAAACACCACACGACTCCCTCCACTATTGTAACTGCTGTAGCGATCATATGATGATGATGATCCTCGCCCACCATGTGCGAGTTCAACCTGCAACACATGGGGTAAACAGACAAAATTAAGCAATTTGATACACATCAATCAACATAGTCAAAACAAGGATGGGGAACTAACCCTTAATCGGTGACCATCAAAGTTATAACATCTCGACCGCGAATAGCATCATCAGCATCACGTAATCATCAAACTGAGCGTATAAAAGAGTTCATAAGTCAGAATAGATAGTGAAACACAAAATTAGAACAAAGAGTTCACCTTGTTGATTGTCAATAATCCAGGCATAACTAACACTAATGATCCATTGAAAACTCAAATCCTGAATCAATCGAGAAACTCACTCCACAAATGCATAACCAGGTGGTCGAGGAGGAATTTTCAAGTCAATATCCACAATACGACCATACTGCAATAAATCATTAGAGAGAGAACATAAAAACAATTAGCAAATATTGTCTTGTACATGCACATACTAACAACTAGGAAACAGGACCCAAGGACCTGCATCATGCCTACTCTATTCGGTCCAGTCAAGAGAATCTCAACATCCGATGACAAATGCATGCACATGTCATTTCTAAATATTAGGCACCAATGAAGAAAACAGAACTAAATTACTCCAACATAGGAATGCATCCATGATTCAGCCACAAAATCATCCGAAATTTCAAATTTAACACAAAATTATTTGATTAATGGCAAAAGTTTCGGCCTTGGAATCCCAATGGTTGTGCTTCAAGCTAGTCTAATTCCAGCATAAGGTTTAATACCACAGAAAACAAGAAAAGGGGCTCTGTTCTGTAATAAAGGTTTAGCTTATTCCATTTCCCTTCTCCGGTTTTCATAGTATCTCTTTGCCCAAATAGCATCAAAGGAAGGTTAACTCGCAGAATAGACAAGCAGCCTTGAAAATATAAGTTCAAAATTCAACTTAATTACAAGCATATGACCATATTTGTATGGTTAGAACATAAATTCAGACAGTAAGGCACTAGCTACAACTAATCTTGAGGAATGCTTATAAAAAAATAAAAGTAAAATAAAATACCTTGTAAAACAAGTCTTCCACTTCACTCTCACGGATATCTCCGGGGAGATTTCCCACATAAATGGTTCGGCTTGAGCGGCTTGAGCGACCCATTTCTTCCTGCAATCATATAAAATTGGTCGCATTTAAAAACACATAAAAGTGCCATTACATACTTGTCATAAAAGCTACAACCAGGAAAAAGAACTAAATATTCATCAACATTAGACAAATTCAATGATCTAAAATAAAACTGAATGTGATTAATGATAAAAACTCATAATCGATGAGAGCAAAAGACCCCTTGCACTAATTTATTAAATCCCAAAAAATGACAGACAATGAATTCATTAATTAATTTTTTTTAAAAAAAAAAACCGAGTAACAAGCAAAAAATCAATACCTAAAAATTCATGGAAACAACAAACAACACAGTACTCCCAACCCAAACAGAAAAGCAAACACATTTTTACAAATATACTGCATGAGGTAAGTCCATATAACACTATAAATCATTCCAATCACAGAATTTCTTATTTGGACACCAAAAATTAATAACCTCAATTCTCTCTCTCTCTCTTTTCTTTTTCCCTTTTTGCACAATATACAAATACCAGAAAGAGAAAAAGAGAGCAAAAAGCTCTAAAGATTCTTTTACTCTTCAATTATGAGAATCTAAGATTCCCAAAACCCTAATTTCTTCATTCCCCACCTTTCTACAGTTAATCAACAATCAAAGCCGTTGAAAAAATTCGGATCAATTCTAAAGCTAAACTGAAGTACCATTACAGGTCCAAAAGGAAAAAAAAAGGATCAAGATTGTTCAAAATTGACAGGAGATTAGAATAACAAATAGATGAAGCGTTAATAAATTCGCGTCTTTTCTAGTCGTAGTAGACTGGAAATAAATTTTCTGGATTGAAAATTCATTTTCTAGATAGCTTATAAATCGATTTCTATTAAAAATTCACTAACCTGATAAAGAATTCGACCAGAGACTTCGTTTCTTGGGTGGGTTGAGAGAGTCTGGGAAATATTTAAAGTCCGAGGAGAGATGCGACCAATATATAGAGAGAGGAAAAAGAAAGAGTTGGATTTTTGGAACCTGATCTGACACGCGTACGGGTGGACGGTTTAAGGGTGACTGACTCTGGTTTGACATGTGTACCCCTTTTGGCCATTTCATGGCTTCCACGACCACGATAGATACTTTTGTGCTGTTTGCCCGTGGTACGTTCACGTCACAATAATCTATACAAACAATAGAGAATATATGACGCTGAAGAATAGCGGGCCTGTTTGGAACCTGAGTTTTTTGAGAGTTTGTCTAAAATTTTACTGTAGTGTACTGTAGAAGTTTTTGAAAAAATTTTTTAAGATGAAAAATTTTTTAAAGTTTTTTTAAGAAGTTTTTTGGAAGTTTTTTGGAAGTTTTTTTCCTTTTCTTTTTTTTCTTTTCCTTTTTTTTTTCTTTTTTTTTCTTTTCTTTCCTCTCTTCTTCTTCTTCCTCTTCCTTCCCACTCCCCCTTCCCTCCCCCGTTACTTCTGCGTTGCCTCCCCAGCAGCAATGGTCACCATTTTTTGTCCTTTCTTTTTCTTTTTCTTTCTTTCTTTTTTCTTTTCCTTCCTCCCTTCCCCTTCCCCCTCAAAAACTCCTGTGCCCACAGCTTCTCCGGCCAGCCCTCATGCATCCCCGATTCCTTCTCCATCTCCAAAGATTCCTCCAACAATACCTGCGGCTTCTCCCTGGTGAATGCTCCGGCAGTGTCACCGCCTGCATCATCTCCAATTGAAAGCTCAACGAGTTCTCCAGTTCCAGCCACTGCAGAGATTCCATCCGCCAGTGCCAGTGTTCCTTCCACTTCTGCGACATCGGCAAAATCGCCGGCGATATTCCCTTCGAGCAGAAACCTGCCAAGTTGCTCACCGGCTGGGACGAGTTTGGCATCGGAAACTTCGCAAGGCCCAGTTGCTGATGAATCGGTGCTACCTCCATTCATGGGGGGCCTAATTGTTCTTGCTGAGCATTGGAAGAGGTGATGACAGAGGTGGTGGTGACGGAAAAAGAAGAAGAAAAATGGGAGGTGGGGGAGGAGGAGGTGGTGGTGGGTTGGAGTGGGTGACGGAGGTAGAAGAAAAAGGGGAGGGAATTTTTTTTGTGTGTTTTGGGTATTTTGAGGCATGTAGGTAAAAAACTTTGTGAAGTTTTTTGGGGTTCTTGTAGCAAAAATTGTTAAAAACTTGTAGGAAACAAACTTGCTAAAAACTTGCACTTCCAAACAGGGCCGCATTTGATATAAACACTTTTTATCATCTTTTGAGTTTTTTTCATTTTTATTTTTTCCTAAAAAATGGAAAAAAATTTTCCCCAAAAAAATAACAATCTAAACAAGACCTAGGCTCTGCGGACATTAGGGAGTTTTCCAAATACATGTTTTTCTTTATGAAATTTACAATAACATAATCCAAAAATAACCCAAAACACTCTAAGGGTATGTTTGGTTCCCCATAGAATTGGGGTTTAGAATTGGAATTGGGCTGTTTAGATTCTACTCTATTTAAAAAATTAGAATTGAATTTGAATTCTACGGGGATCCAATTCCATGAATTGAATTCTTTACCGGACCAAAAGAATTCTAATTTCAATTCCACAACTAAACCGGATCTACACGCGGATCTAACATGGGTCAAAAATTAAAATCAGGTCAAGCATAAGTTGCAAGAAATAGTTTCCCGTTCCGATTGCTCCTTCTCCACCATCGTTACCACCTCCAATACTAACCTCTCCTGCCACTGTCTTCCTCCTGCCTTCTGTTTCTCTGGCCACTCCCTCCATCCTTTGCCAATCCCGCCACCTTCCGCCCATCACTTTGCTCATCACAAGACCTACTCCGTCCAATTTTTGTCACTCGTGTAATGAAGTCAGTAGTTAAGTAGTATAAAAGGGAAGAAGTCGTGAAGAGAAGTTAAGAGAAGGCGTGGCAGTAGCAGGAAGATGTCAAGAGAAGTCGTGGTCTGGTGAAGACTGCAGTTAACAGTGTACGAAAGAAGAAAGGTGTGAAGTCAGGAAAAGAAAAGTCGTGGAAGAGAGAGTGAAGGCGCGATCCATAAATCACGCCTTTGCTGGGTTCATGCTGTTCTTGCTGAAGTTGGGGACTAGACGAGCTTGAAGATTCTGCTTACACGTGTCAATCCCTCATTAGTTATTGGAAGGAGTTAGTTAGAGTAGCTTCTGTAAATGATACGATCATGTAATCTGTTAGCTATCATTTGGTTAAGATTTGCTATTGTAACCAGAGAGGGAATATCCCCTCTATTGTCTTTCCTCTCAAGTTTCCTGCATTCTTTTCCCTCTTCTCCTCTTTCCCGCCAATTCTTATTCTGTATCTAGTTTTGAAGTTCATCAATGAAAACGAAAGGTGTTTGTTCTTGAATCCAATCGAATCTGAGTATTTATTAATTTTTGTTTATTCAACTTCCATTCCTGCAACATTTCTGGTTCTGTACCACAACGGTGGTATCAGAGCTGGTCTTACGAGTCATAGGGATGACGAAAAATCAGGACAAAACACTGAGAAGAGAGGTAGTGGAACTTGGTAGTGTGGTCAGAACCTTCACCAACAAAAATGAGGGAATAGAGCAGGCCATCAGATCAATGGGATTCAGGTAGGATGCTACTGAAAAATTACTAAAGGGGCTAGATCAGAAGTATGAAGGAATGATGAATATGATGACTCAGCTAAAGACTAAAATGAATGACATGGGGAAGGAATTTGAAGGAAGCAGCAGTTCTAAGGAGGTGGCTCAACTTGAGGGATCTAAGTTGGAACCACCAAAGGAAGTAGCTGGAAGGAGAGAATTCAGAACCATCAACAAACTACCAAAAATAGATCTACCAATCTTCGATGGGGGCAATCCTAAGGAATGGATCAGGAAGGCTAACAAGTATTTCAAGATACATGGAATAGAAGATGAAATGAAGGCTGAAGTAGCAGAACTTTACTTCAGGGATAGAGCAGACATCTGGTTTCATGGAGTCTTCTATGGAAGGGAAGCTATACCTTGGGAAGAGTTAACTACTGCTCTGTGCATCAGATTTGGGGAAGGAAAACCTGAGGAAGCCATTGAGGAGTTCAACAAGCTAGCACAGGCTGGATCAGTAGCTGACTACTTGAAAAGATTTGAAATGCTCAAGGCCCTGGTAATGCCATCCTTACCACATTTATCTGATTCCTATTATAAAGCATGCTTCATGAGTGGATTGAAAGAGAAAATTGTCAATATGGTGAAAATGTCAAAACCTGAAACTTAGCGAAGTGGCCAAATTACAAGAGAAGAACTTAAAAGCTATACAGAAGATACACAAAGCTGTTCCTGCTAGTTTTAGCAGTCAGAAAAGTCATATAAAAACACCCCCTCATACCAGATGAAACCAAGACAATCCCAAACACACCACTAGACCCCCTAACCAAAATGCAACAAACCAAAATCAATTCAAGAAGATATCCCATGCAGAATTTAACCTGAGGAGAGAGAAAGAATTGTGCTATAAATGTGCTGAACCTTATATTTTAGGACACGTATGCAAACAATCCCATATTTATTACTTGTTAGCTGAAGAAGCTGAAACTGCAGAAGGAAGCAAGGAGCAGGAAGAGGAGGTCTATTGTGACTGTATTAATGGGGAGTTGGTAGATGAACATATAGAGGTGTCCATCCATACCTTGGCTGGAGGGGCAGGGCACAAAACCATAAAACTAAAGGGCCTGGTTAAGGGGAAACAGGTTACTACACTAATAGACAGTGGTAGTACCCACTGTTTTCTGGATGAACAACTGGCAAAGGAACTGAAGCTTAGCACACAGGGACCTAACTTGATAGTTAATGTGGCCAATGGAGAAAGGGTAGAATCCAAGGGACTGGATAAGTCTATGCAGTGGGAAATGCAAGGTCATCAGTTCCAATATGCCTTTAACACCTTAAGATTAGGAGGCTGTGACATAATCCTTAGAGTAGATTGGCTGGCCAAGCACAGTCCCATAGAATTCAATTTCAAGGAGCTCAGTATGATGATCCATAAGGGAGAGCAGGAAATAGTGCTGAGAGGAGAGGATACTAGCACTAGTTTAAAGATGATCAGAGGAAGCAGGTTGGATAGGTGGTTGAGGAAACAGGCATATGGGATGGTAGGACAACTAGTGGCAATAAAAGAGGAGGATGGTACAGGTTAGATACCTGCTAAAATCAATTAAGTGCTAGATCAATACAAAGATGTCTTTGAAGAACCCAAAGGGATGCCTCCAACCAGGGGCCATGACTACTAGATTGTTCTAAAAGAGGGAGCCAAGCCTTTCCAAATAAGGCCATACAGGTGCCCTTACGTACAGAAGGCAGAGATTGAGAAATTAGTAAAGGAAATGCTGGAAATAGGCATCATACAGCCTAGCAGTAGTCTTTTTGCCTCACCAGTGTAGCTGGTTAAGAAGAAGGATGGAACATAGAGATTCTGTGTGGATTACAGGCAACTGAATGAGTTAACAGTGAAGAATAAATTCCCCATGCCTTTGATTGAAGAGTTGATAGATGAGCTGCATGGAGCCAGGTACTTCACAAAAATTGACCTAAGGGCAGGATACTTTCAGATCAGAGTCAAGGAGGAAGATATTCCAAAAACAGCTTTCAAAACTCACCAAGGACTCTATGAATTCAAGGTCATGCTATTTGGCTTGACCAATGCACCAGCAACCTTCCAGGGCCTGATGAACCAGATTTTTCAAGATCAGATGAGGAAACATGTGTTGGTGTTCTTCGATGATATTCTAGTTTACAACCCAACACTGGAGTTGCATGTCAAACATGTAACTAAGGTAATGAATCTTCTGAGACAACACCAATTGTATGCCAAGATGAGCAAGTGCTCTTTTGCTCAGTTGCAGGTGGAGTACTTGGGACACATAATATCAGCAGAAGGAGTTCAAGCTGATCCTAAGAAGATAGAGTGCATGGAGAACTGGCCCAAACCAACTAACATCAAGCAGCTAAGGGGATTTATGGGACTGACAGGCTACTATAGGAGGTTTGTCAAAGGATATGGAGCCATAGCAAGGCCTATGACAAATCTGCTGAAGAAAGACAATTTCCATTGGAGTGAGGACGCAGAGA